TTTATTATACACGCTTGAGTTTCTACAGAATGCAAAAAGCCGTTTTGAGAAAGCGCTCTACACCCTGGAAGACCACCCTTGTAGGCTGCACTTTCCATCCTACCTGCTTTACCTAGTAGACTATCTAAACGAAGGATTTTTCAGAGTGCTGCTCCAAAGTGAGATCAAATAATCGGTGCAGGCCGTTTGACAGTTTTAGCTATTTTGAGGAGAAAATTCTAAGAGAATTTTCGGAGATGATTATAGTACATATCTTTGGAGGGAGTAGAGGACGCCTTGTGAGGGATACCGAAGTGTCGGAATGGAAGGAATCAAATGTCCTCGGGGTTGAGACTAGTAAAAAATGCGTACACAACGCCACTCAAGCGTTCATTTCGGAAAAACAAGAACGAAACACGTTCTTGAAGCCAGTTTTCGTTACAATAACTATAATGCTTGGCAATAACCATGGTGCTTTACACTCGAGAAAGATGAAATAACAAGGAAGAGGTGGAAACATGAGCAATTCCTGAAAGCAGGAATTGCCCCCTCCAAGCACAAGGAAAACGATTATAGGGTTTTACACTGTTGCTGCAACACGCTACGATAAAACTTCCTCATCTGGATTTGTAACTTTAAACCGTGCACACAAGCAAAGCGAGTTGCGGAAAATCGAAGATGTAAAAATTTTCAACTTTTCAACTCCTTGTCGAATTACTTGGAGGAAATGCACTAGTTTACATTTAGAGGCACAACCCAGGGCCAATTAAAGGAATCCTGCGCGGAAAATTCTTGCATTCTTTCCCAACATGAATATGTCAGTTGTGATCACTGGAAACAGCACACAAAGTTTCACGCATGAAGATTCGGTTTCCGAAGAGAAACAAACTTACAAAAACTACACTCTATGGACAATCGAAGGTAAGTGGCGCGGAGCCAAAGGCGGGCATGGAAAGAAGTCCGCCTTGGGGCATCAGGCGACGCAATGAAAGAATCGGGTTAAAGCGTGCGATTTTGGAGAGTAGAGACAAATCGATCGATAGAATAGGATGCAGTAGAAGTGTGAGATGTGAATGCAATAAGTCAAAAGGCCAGAAAGAGTTTCTAGTGAGGCACTCCAAGAACCAAGTGGAAGCATCCCGTCGCCAGCATTTGTGACAGATGTCCGGCGGTACTTTGAACGCGTAGCAGCCCTTTCGGTTTTTCGATTTTTTTACCAAAACAAATGCAATTTTTTTGTTCTTTTCGTTCTTATCGTGAACGATGGGTCCCAAGCCAGTGAATTATGGGTGAGATTGGATCACGGTTTTTTTCGAGAAGGATTCCCTTAAGGTGGATGAATCCTTTTGGTGAGCTTCTCACAAAGGATCAGATGTCCCATCCTTCCTGCTCCGAAATGCTCGAAAAGTCGTTAGGGCCATACAAGGTTCCTTAAACCGCTTCAATTTTCCTTGTCCACAGTATGTGCTTTTATGTTTTTTTTTCTAGATTTCTAGATTCTCCACCAGTACTGATCGTTGTAGAACGATTGGGAGGATTTCAATTCTATTTATGGAAGCGAAGGAGGAAAAATATGTACTCGCACTTTTTGAATGTCGAAGGTGGACAGGTTCTAGGCGTCAGAGAATGTCTCACATTTGGCAAAAATTCATTGCTGGTGTCACAGCACCATTAACCCCATGACATTAGCAGGGCTTTACTACAAACATCTGAGAAAAAACGCAGTGACTCATAGCGCCCGAGAGTGTCAGAATTCGACGGGCTACGGCTACGTCAGACGTATACCAACGCGGCTACAATTTAGTCACGAAGTTGATTAGGTGACTAAAGTGTAGCGTTGGAGCAGGGTGAATATCGGTCGAGGAAATCCTCGACAGGGGGGTCGTACCTGTTGGGCTGGTCCATGGGGGGTCGTACTCTTGGGGGTCAGTAACAGCAGTGGTATCGTGGTGCAGATAGGTAAGAGGGTATAGCGCAGCAGAAAATGAAAATATCTGAAAAAAACATGATATTAAATTTTCTTTGCAGGTTCAGTCGCTCCATTCCTCCACCTTCATGAGAAGGGCGTATTTGAAGGCAGTACAAAGAATGAAAGTGCATCCCCGCAAAGAAGGTGCCACATGTGCGCACGCGCTGCAAAGGCACCTCCCTGCCTATCGCTCGCTCCTTCTCCCTTAATGCCTCGCTGAGAATGACACTGTTGTTAGGGAACCTGTCGTAAAAACGACAGCCGTGAAGGAAAAGCCCTGGGCAAATGAAGTTGTTCTTCAGGTTGTAGGAGTTATGAAATGCGTTTACTACAATGCAGCTTCTGTCAAATGGTCACGATCATATGACACCTTCGAATCGATTCTGCAACTTCGAGTGAGGTCGGATGCCAAACCTTCCGCTTTCCAAAACTATCTTCTTTTTCAGGATCTCACGTTTTAAGAGAGATATTGCTCTTGAAGTGGCAAAAACTCGCGTGAAAATTTCAGCGTCCTCGACGTTTACTCGACGAAATTTGAGAGACCCTATCTTTCTGCATGGAAGGCTTTCAGAGCAATTTCAATACTTCTTGGAAACGCGAAATCCAGCTCTATCTAACCCTACCTCAAACTGCTTCAAAGGTTATGAAATGGAGGAATGCAACCTTTTCATCGAGGGTGTAGATTCGGACGTTTTTTTTTGAAATTTCGGCAAATCTGACCCAGTGACAATCGCGCAGCTGCCGTTGAATCGGCCGTTTGATACACTCGGCTGTTTCGATATACTCAAGCAGGAATTAGGATTAAATCGCAACCCCGTGCCTTCAGGATTTCCGTGCATTTCTGAACGAACCTGACTTTGAGGTCACACAAAGTTAATGCCTCTTTCCTCGAGTCGATATTTCAGTAAATACACAAAAGTGTGCAGCGATGAAAGACAGTGCATAGATGACAAGATGAGGCGTCCATAACATTATTTTGCAGGATTTTTTTTGATTTATTTTGCAGGATTTATTTTGATTAATTAATTGAATTAATTTGCTCTGTTTTAGGGGGTCGTGCCAGGATCTCGATTCGGGGGGGGGGGTCGTACTTCTGCGACCACGTACTCGACCGATCACCGGATCGAATCCTCGTCGTTGTTTGCCCAACGAAGCGGAATTTGACCCTGCATCTGAAGTACGACTACAGATAATATAGAAGAAAACACAAGGGTATGTAGAGCGAAAGAAAGTTTTGAAAGCGATAAGATGTGATTTCCATGGAATAACGAATTTATAGCTCGGAAAAAAAAACAAGATTAATCTACAAACACAATCCTATCATGTTTCCACGACCTTAGGCGTGATCTCTAGTTTAACACGTTGACGTTCAGCGCAGCCATTAGAGGCATGTTTAATAAACCCCGTTGGGACATAGAGTCAGATTCTGCGAGAGCGGTCGCACCTCACAACAAATCCGTGGAGTTTGAGCATAGCATGTCGAAATCACTGCTATGCGACAATAGTTCCACTGACGTTCGGCCCGTGCTAAAACTTATCGGGAGATGTATTGTCAAGTTTGCGGCGAGGATGGGTGTGATAGCAATAAAAAACAGTTTTCACTTTTTGCTATAGTGTTTTCTTTTTTTTGGCAAAATTATTTTAAACGTAGTTTTTTTTCAGTGAGAACACACTTCCTGCCACACGAGTGGGTTTGTATTGGCTTCTATTACTCATTTGTTTACGTGTTTGCGCCAGTGGAAAGAAAATGAGAAATAAAATGATCAGATATTTTCGTATGGTTCGGAAAACTCTGCCAATAGAGGAAATATGGTATTCTGCAAGCACGTGGGATTCCAAAAAGATGGGAGAACATCGAACATGTAGCGCAAAAGAATGTGAATCGAGTGTGGGATACATAGTTGCCGCAAGCTAGGAGGCTGAAAGTGTGGACATACATAGTTGCCGCGAATGTCATCAGGTGTTTGAACCAGCATGGGTTTACGCGGGCAGGCGATAAAAAGTGTACAGTACTGGCAATTTATTTTATTAGCTTGAATAAATTCTAATTAGCGAAGTCGTTTTTAAAATCCAAAATTTATCTAAGAAAAGGAATGTGTGTCGTATATCAAGGAATTCGAGCTTTACAGGATCGTAGGTAGGTGTGAAGGAAAAACGGACATATCGTTTTTGGTTCTTTTTCAGGTGTGGTGATGGTATCGTCGTACCTTGCCTCGCCACATATCACTATACACAGCTGATTTTCATGACATGCAGTGTTTGAAAACGGTCTGAACGGCGAATTAGTGGGGTGATCCGCTTATGTCACAGGGGTAGCGTGTTGCATCGCTTTCTTTACTATGTTCTGTCTCTGCCTTCATCTTTCACTGCGAACTCAAGTTTAAGAGCTGGAGGTCCTGTTTTCGGTTCCTATAGGAGCAATCTCTGGAATGCAGTCTTCGTCATATTTATTACATGCTCAACAACATGTAAATAGAACACAAACGACACGTCATGACAAGCAATGGGGCCAAATTCAGTATAAACGAATGCATTTGCGCTCCTGAGCTCATAAAATGATTTTTGTTCCATATTGTTTTCCACTTTACCATTGGCGACAATGCGATTTTTTATATTTTCAAAAAATGCGTCGTAATGCACCAAACTACTGGCACCAAAAATGTTGAATCTCAAAGCAGACACTGTTGAGACTTTGCACGTTTTCAAAACTTTCCCGATCGCACCCGAAATGAGCGTAAATCTTTTCGTTCGGCCCAGGGTGGATTTCGGAGCAAGCGAGGAGAACTTCAATTTTCCACTCCAGAATTGGCAAATAGGGTCGAATCCCGTTCTCTTCTAGTGAGAAGTTGTACCAGCCCTCTAGCTAACTGAAAGCAAGAAGCCAGCCGTATACACTTAAAAATAACACATTAAAAATAACACACTTAAAAATAAATTAAAAAAAATATTACACTTATAAAAATTAACAACAAAAATCACTTTTTAGCACCGCTTATGTAAAACATTATTTAGGAAAGATATGCATGGGCCACGATTACCATAAGGTACTACAACGCCTTCCTGATTAATGTGCCATTATAATAATTTTAAAAATCTTGCGTAGAAGAATTATCTCTATGCTGCGTCCCCAACATCGACCCGCAATGTCGCCAATGGGTTAAAGAACCAAAAACTTATAAAAGCACTGTGAGGTCATGAAAATTCCTTGCAAGCTTCAGTTCAGCAACAAGGTGTAGAACATCTCCGATTTTTTCGGAAATTCAAGTGAAAATGTATTAGGTCGGTCCATAAGTCTTACAACACTAGCTGATTGTGAATTTAATTTTTCATTATCTTTTTGTTCCATTCATCCGGCATGCTACCCTCCATCAATATCTACAACCTATTGCCAACACACTAGTAGCTGCTCGATGCCTCCCTTGTAGGACTCTACTGAATTCTGATCGAAGAAAGATCAGATGTCGATTTTGACATCATCATAGTTAGGATGAGCTTTCTTCTCTAGGAGATGGTTTGGAGAGGGGAGCAGAAGGGCATATTTGCCTCGAGGTCAGGGCTATAACGTGAATACGGAAGAACTCTCCGTCCCAGAGTCTCGAAATTTTCCTGAATTTTCTTAGCAAGAGGTTTTTCAACGGTGTCATACAAAAGCAAACTTTGCCTTGTTTTTCTTTCGTATTAAAAGCGTTGCATTCGAGCTGTGGATAGTTGACTTTCGCGTTGACTGCGACATCTACACGGAGGGGTTTCCAGAGCTTAACTTATTACGCCTTCTTCCACCAAAGATAATTGTTCGCCATTTCTGTAATTAATCGTTCCTACCATCCTGTACAATAGTTATAAATAAATAAATAAACTCCTCCCGTGTTCCACCAAAAATCCGAGAAGGCCCTACTTGGACGAGGTTGAACTTAAGCAATAAGATCTCCCGAAGCGTTTGAGCTGGACTACCGCCGCTTGTTCATTTGTTAGTAAACTGTACCCACTCCTCATCTTCGGCAAATGTGATGGATGGTCAATCGTAGAATCCCTAGTAAGTCGACTTGAACATAACGGTGTCAGATCGTGTTTGGAGCTGAATCGGGCTCAAGGCACGTGGGGACCAAACTCTACATTTTCGGATCTTCACAAGTCTTTGGAAATGCACAGTGCTGGTCTCCTTGCACTCGCAGCAAACATACCGCGAATACCGCTAGAAACCCCATCACCCACGACAAAACAAACCACCCAACCACAAAAAAGGATCGATAACTACTCTCTCAAGCGCATCTCGTCAACGCCGCCAGACTTTATATTATCGTGATTGTCAGTCACAGGGTGGTTGGAGTGTGGGTTATTTTCAAATAAAAAAGTCAACGCTGAGCAGAGTGAAGCGCCGTTGCACTGTGGTTTGAGAGAGCTTGCCCTCGCCTATCTTCTGGCCAATCCTTGGTCTAGCATGACTTGCGGAACATTCCAAGCAGTACTCGTAAAAATTAAGGGCATCGAGAGCCCTCTCGCGAAATCGGTGTAATATCCATAATAAGTAAGCAGAGACAACGAGCTGGACCGTTGGCTGAAATTGCAAAGGTTGATGCTACGTCAGGAAATATGTTGCGGATTTTTTCAGGAGTTCTCGCTAAAATTCTATAGCATTAAGTGTACTTAGTTGCAAGACTTAATAGTATGAAGCTCTTCAAGATCTTTTTATGCGGCGACGTTTCGTGCCTAAGCTGCCCTAGTCTCAGATTAAACATGTCTTTTACATAACAATCGATCAGACGTGGCAATTACACACATGAAAGCGAACACGAGAACACCCCTTACATGCTACATCATTTCTAGGATAAAGATGCACCCAAACCCATGAAGCGAGCGAATCTGCATCCCGTAGCAGTATTGAACGCATTGGTAGCATAAATAGGTGGAATGAATAGAGAAAGGGCTACGTGAAAGGGAACGGGGCCTTTCCCCCCACCCTCTTACAAACTTTTTTTTGCTCTCAAACTTCGGAATTTGGGACCAAATATTGGGGGCGGGCGACCAGGGGGTTCAGGGGATAAAAAGGGGGGCTTGGGAAAAAAAAATGGGTGTGTGGGAAGCTATCCGTTTGGAGCACGGACACGTAGTTTAAGTTTCCTATTCCTAATGTAGCGTAATATTCATTGGATTTCTCTGTTGTTAGTTTGTGGGATCTTTTCATATTATCACTGCCCATTTATCTTCCTCTCACCGGCAGGTCAAAACTTTCTTGTGTTTAAAACGGACTTGGTTTCACAGGACCCGGACCAACACCCCCAACCCCCCCCCCATCATCACCGTCTCGCTCGAGCTTTGTTTACCAATGACGTGCTGCGTCAAAGACCCCAGCCTGCTCTTCGAACAGGGCGTTCTCCGGCCATGAAATGCTGAGACTCGATTCCCGCAACCTCAAGCATGTTTATCACGAGAGCATAAAAGCCCGACATTGGAATTACGAAGAAGAAGAAGCCCACAAATTAGCAACAGAGAAGAACTGCGAACGGCCATGGAATTGCTCGCTACATAGTGAGATGAGAAAATGAAAGCTACGTGACATACACTAAATCGCAAGGTATAAAGTAACACTACCCTACCCTTGCCAACCCTCATCTGACTGTCCCATTTCATTTCGAGTGAGCAGCAGCAAGAGAGGTGAGCCCCTTTCACGTAGCCCTTTCCATCCTCATCCCACATCATTTGCAGCAATACCTGAAGCTCCCGGACCAACCCGCCCCTAACCCAAATTTTCCTAAGTTGGTCAGTTGTTGAGGCTTTTTCGTTTTCCAATGTATTGTATTGGTCACATCTAGATCGATTGTTGATTGATTGATGTAAAATTAGCATGTTTGTATTTGTAGACCTGAGGAAGGGCTTAAGGCCCGAAACGTCGTCGCATAAAAGATTTTGAAGAGTTTCATATCAACAGCAATTGAAGAACGTATTACACAATGAAGCTCATGAATCCTATGATATTAGCTGAAGCATCTGTTTCAATAGGAGTTTCTTCTCGCAACCCCATACATATGTTACCATTGGATCCTTGACTTCGAGTTTCTGAATGTAAGCCTATTAGACTGGTTTGTGCACTAACGCTTCTAGAAGCTGATGGTATTGGCTGTTCACCAAACCACCTCTTCGCAAACCAAAGTTAGAATACAAGCAAAAGCCTTATAGTATTCAGAAAGTGTTGGGATAGCATTACATTAGTAACGGTCTTGTCGTAAACCCTTCAAAAGAATTTTACTTCGTGGAAGTAAAGAAATTTTCTCTCTTCGCGCGTATCTCTAGCAACAGTGGTCAAGGGTTACCACAATTGGGTGTATACAATGACCGAAAGGGCATTCGATGAATAACAATAGTTCAGTTGTTGTATCCAAAAAGGAATTCGGCACTAATAACTTACCCTGAAGGCGTAGAAGGCTCTACTGACCTAGATGACACGACGAACCAGGAACTGAACAAACGTAAACAGCGGAAGGTGCGCGTAGTAAGCGGCGCCGCTTGCTTCGACATTTGCCGACCCAGGAGGTATGCAGCGAGATAATCGACCTTTCGGCTAATAGCAGTGTACAGTAAATCGCTCTTTTCATAACTGACTAAATGTAGCGCAATTCAGTTCTGTCATCCTAATCGACTAGTATTTTTATGCAATTACGAAAATATAGTACTCGTGAACTTACAAGGAAGGTCTTTCAGGGTGTGCCAAGCTTTTTCAAAACGGTCTTTTGCATGATATAGAGGCACATGCGGGAACCACAGAACCATGGTTAATTTTTCCTGAACGGCCCTCTGAATACCAGAAAAGGGGGTCCCTAGTCACACCTTTTTCACCAGTTTTTCAATCAAAGTCTATTTGTAAGGGTTACTGACGTTCCTAATCATGAATTTGGTACTAATTATTCATGCTAACTCCATTTTGCGCGAATTTGGAAACGTCAACACGAAATGCAAAAACTTGTCACCACGAGGAATCGAACTAGGGACCCCTTTTCTGGTATTCAGAGAGCCGTTCAGGAAAAATGAACCATGCTTCTGTGGTCCCCATATGTGCCCCAATGTCATGCAAGAAACCATTTTGAAAAAGCTTGGCACACCCTGAACGACCTCCCTTGTTAGTGCTTGGAAATGTCGGCCAAATAAGGAGTAAAAGTTCACGATAAAGCTGACGGCATGCCTACCATGAGTAACTCATCGTCAGCCCTTCATGGCCAACTGTTCGTTGTGCCAGGAGCAAAGGGATGAGAAAGAAGAGGTCGTGTGTTATGCTTTTGGAGGGTAGGGGTCGTGCTTGCGGAAGTAGCAACGTGTAATAGCTCTCTAGATCAGAAACTGGAAGCTTTTGTGAGATTTTGGGAGGTAATACTATCTTTCCTTAAAATATAGAGGAATCTTGTGAAGAAGATTGACAGCCCTCCAGAATCTTCCGGTAATCAAAATCAGAAGTTTTGGAATTTATCTGTATTTTCAATGATATTTTGCCAACTCCCGTAGTTAGGTACACCTTGCCCGTTGGAGTTTTTGGAGTTAGGAGCAGGGTCACGTTCGAACATTTTCGGGATTTTTGCGACCCCCTAGCTCTCGAGGGGGTCCAGTTGCGACCCCCTGTTTTTGTTAATAAGAGTGCTAGACATGAATCCGTTGCGCCAGAAAGCGTCTGCGCCGCCGCAGAAAGCGTCTGCGTTGCGGCGTCAGCCTTGGAGCGCGGCAGGTATCACCCGGGCGCTGGAAGAACGGGACGCGGCGAAGAAAAAATTTAGAGGGGAATAACTTTCTTGGGACGTACTTTTTTGACTTGTTGAGGTAGATTTTGATTGTGCCTGAGGTGCGCTTCAGAAAACTACAAGGATTGCCTAACTCTCCGGAAAGTACTTCTGTTAGAAGTGGAAAACCCAAAATTCTAAGAAGGCGCACCTTCAACTTTGAAGGCCCATAATATTAGGTCGGTCCATAAGTCTTGCAACAAACTACATTTAATGCTATAGAAATTTTAGGGAGAACTCCTGAAAATCCGCAACATATTTCCTGACGTAGCATCAACCTTTGCAATTTCAGCCAACGGTCCAGCTCGTTGTCTGCTTACTTATTATGGATATTACACCGATTTCGCGAGAGGGCTCTCGATGCCCTTAATTTTTACGAGTACTGCTTGGAATGTTCCGCAAGTCATGCTAGACCAAGGATTGGCCAGAAGATAGGCGAGGGCAGCTCTCTCAAACCACAGTGCAACGGCGCTTCACTCTGCTCAGCGTTGACTTTTTTTATTTGAAAATAACCCACACTCCAACCACCCTGTGACTGACAATCACGATGCTATATCTGACGGCGTTGAAAAGGGATCTGGATAGAGTATCGATCATTTGCTAGAGCGATTCCGATGCGACAAGGAGACAGCACTGTGGCATCTCCAAAGACTTGTGAAGATCCGAAAATGTAGAGTTTGGTCCCCACGTGCCTTGAGCCCGATTCAGCTCCAAACACGATCTGACACCGTTATGTTCAAGTCGACTTACTAGGGATTCTACGATTGACCATCCATCACATTTGCCGAAGATGAGGAGTGGGTACAGTTTACTAACAAATGAACAAGCGGCGGTAGTCCAGCTCAAACGCTTCGGGAGATCTTATTGCTTAAGTTCAACCTCGTCCAAGTAGGGCCTTCTCGGATTTTTGGTGGACACGGGAGGAGTTAAGCTCTGGAAACCCCTCCGTGTAGATGTCGCAGTCAACGCGAAAGTCAACTATCCACAGCTCGAATGCAACGCTTTTAATACGAAAGAAAAACAAGGCAAAGTTTGCTTTTGTATGACACCGTTGAAAAACCTCTTGCTAAGAAAATTCAGGAAAATTTCGAGACTCTGGGACGGAGAGTTCTTCCGTATTCACGTTATAGCCCTGACCTCGAGGCAAATGCCCTTCTGCTCCCCTCTCCAAACCATCTCCTAGAGAAGAAAGCTCATCCTAACTATGATGATGTCAAAATCGACATCTGATCTTTCTTCGATCAGAATTCAGTAGAGTCCTACAAGGGAGGCATCGAGCAGCTACTAGTGTGTTGGCAATAGGTTGTAGATATTGATGGAGGGTAGCATGCCGGATGAATGGAACAAAAAGATAATGAAAATATTAAATTCAAAATTCGGCCAGTTTGTTGCAAGACTTATGGACCGACCTAATATTTTTTCCTGCAACTTTTTGGGAGCTGATCAAAGTCGTAATAACTTCGTATAGCATATAATTATACGAATGTTAAAGCAAGTCTTGCCCTCGGATACGCCACGCACGCGCCTGTGGCTGGCAGTCCTCGAAATTGCGACCCCCTTCCGACCAAAATGCGACCCCTTCGTTCGAACAGTTCGAACGGACGGTTGACCCTGGTTAGGAGCCTGTGAGTCAAGTGGTACGAGATCCAAAGCACGCTGTGCTGTGCGAGATGTGAATTGTAAAACTCTGACATCCACACGAAGCGACGGCTGATCCGAGCCGAGTTCTCGATTTCTGCTACTATCGCTGCCAATTTGATGTGCAGAATTTTCCCAGATGCGCTGCGTTATGTGATTAGAGTCGTGCTCAGGGGTCAATTAAGCGATATTATGAATGATGTTCGGGAGCTACTGCGCACATGTGGCTGACTTCCATGTGCTGAGGCGCCAGCACGAGGAAGAATCGATCCGCTGCAGGTCGGAGACGTCGAGGGAGCGTATGAATCTAGGAGCGGCTCGTGTAAGCGTCTGGCACGGCTCCAGGTCTTCTTTTTCCCTCTCGTAAATTTACTATGACCAGGAACGCTTATGAAGCACCCTATCACGACAAATCTGAGAACGTCCTTTTTTTTCTTGTGAACTAGCAAGCTTTGTCTCATCAATAACTCACTAGTGAGCTCACGGTTTCATTCTTATTAAACCACAATGCCAATGGAAACCTCGTGATTCCATAGTTTATTTTCCTGTTTGTCATCCGATACTCTGTTTGGCGTCAAGCCAGAGGAGCTCGACATTCAGAGAACGCACTTCGATCTGATCCTCTAATCACTGAGCAGCACTGCGAAAAACTGATCTTTTGGACCACGACATATTTAATTTTGCTCAGTTTTTTTTCATTGAAATGCTCCGCATTCTCTCTCTATTGCTTTCAATAGGGCTATGTGATGCTTTTTTATGATCTTACAGGTTGCCGTTTCGTTCTGTCTCTGTTCTCATCAATCGAATTCTTCCTACTAAACAACGAGTCTGAATTTCTCGAGGTTCGTGTCAGCTTTGCTCGATTTGCCACTGGAATGTAAGCGATTACAGTTAGACGATGAACTGACACTTTATAACACGGTGCTAACCTTCATGACGGTGACAGGTAGGGCCTGGGGCACCAGTTACCCATCACTGCCTCATACTTCGTGAGAGCGTCTAGTGCCTAACCGAAACAGCTTTAACCACCAACTTCGCTGAAACCTAATCCTAGGGGTAAGTTGATGTGGACACATACATTCACGGCGCAAAGGGACTTCATGCTCACGAAATGGGTGCGCCAAATGAGTGTTATCGCACGTGTGCTAGGCATATTAGTGATAAACGGATACAATATTCATGCCAGATCACCTAGAACTGCTGAAAATTAAAACCAAACGTTCACTGGAGAGTACATTTCGAAAAATAATTTGAAATTTTTGACTTAGGGGAGCCACTTGTCCTTATATAACGTCTCCCTTCTTCAAACTCATTACTATCATCATTTTGAAGTTTTTGCACATCGAAAATATAAAGATGTACCTAGTGCATAATGATTAACACTTGGCGATCGCGTATGTCGGCATTTTGACCGCGTGGGACATGAGCGATTCGTAATAATCGCGCCACCTCAGCCCTGCGGTCGTGCTTATTGTTTGTTTAGAAATGCACAAACAACTTTGAATCTCATAAAATTATTCGGCAATGATGAAAGCATAAACGTAACTGTATGGATGGCAGTAGATTTTTGTTCACAAGAACACACAATGATCACGAAAAAGCAAAAAAAAAATCACTTTCGCTGCGAATGAAGTAAAAAGCATGTACACTTCAGTTTTCATAACAGGTACGAATATGTTGAAACTCACGGAGTTTTGTATTAACTTCTTTTACAATCGGTGATGTGAATAGTCCATGAACGACTCCATTAATCTCGACATGATTATAATCGCCTTCTGCTTCTGCTTAAGCCACCGAGATTGGTATCAACTTAATTCGGTTAACGCATAGTATACAGTCGTTCATTCCTTAGGCCTGTTTCGGCAGTCCACTCTTCAAGTTCGCACTTCCCACGATTCAATAGCTTTCAGGAAATAGGACTCAAGTCTACTGAGGTTTCTTCAAATCTTATCCTCCCGTTGAAGCATTAGATAAACGAATCGGAGAATTACTGCCCAAATGTACAGGAGGGCCAATAAAAAAAGACATTTTGTCCAGACTGAATGGATTTAAATCATACTTTGCCGGCGTCAGACAAAGAATAGTAACGCATCCCAACTTAGAATTGAAGAGTGCATTTCATTTCATAAGAAAATCTTCATAGTGGCCATCTACGTGGACGGCATCAGAAAAAGTTGCCCCGGAAACATGGTGCTCTGGTCGAGCTCAATGGGGTTCTCGACTGATCGTGTACCGTTACGATGGGCTCCGGGGGTTTGCATAGTTAGAGCTAATGTCCCTAGGAAACTATCCCACGTTGAATCGATCCAAGAAATTATGTAAGAGCTTCAGGCTGAAGCAGTTACTGTAGGCCTCCCTGAGCTCGACGACGGTGACAGATGACGTCATATTCTGAAGACGGTGAGGGTAGTGAAGGAGGCCTGCGTGTACTTTATAGAAGGACATTTTGGGAGAATAATGGTTCGTAAGAACTGGCTCTCAAACGACGGCAATCTTCTGCGACAAGGAAATAAGATCTCCGGCGAAGTTTGGCCGTTAACCTACCCTGTGCGACCTGACCAAAATGTCTTTTTTTTTCCTGGCCCCACTGTAGTTTTTCGGAACGGTAACTACTCTCTTACAACTCAGGTCGACCGACCTTTGTGATGACTTCAACCTCGCGAACCACCCCATCGGAGAATACTCTAAGCGTCCTTGCCTACTGTGCATAGTTACCGTATGTACTTGGTAGTGTTTATGCATTCATGTTCAGTAGAACTGGTTTCCAATTATTAGCTCGCGGCTACGGCGCGTGCTTTGTGAAAGCGCGCGATATGTCTCCTAAGTTTCTCTCACACCGAAAGAGTTCCCGAACTTCAAAAGTGACGTGAAAGTCACTGCGTAAATGCGCACTTCTTTAGTTAAAGGCAAAGGTCGGGCTCAGGCACGCTAGAGAAGTAATTCCCGTGCCTGGAGGTTGTATGTGGGTAGCTGCACACATTGCAGCAACTTCCCACCTTGAAAAACCCGTTAAGGCCCCCGGGGCGTTCGGTTTCAATCCAGGGCCGCCTGGTCAATCCAGGACCGCCCACCTCCGGAAGTGGTGCGTGGCTGGCATAACGTGTGAAATCAGCTAGGTTGATTGCCGTATCAACCGATAGAACGACTGACATCTCCAGAAAACTTGTTTGTACGTGCCTCTTTCCCAAGCCAGCCTCCTTCACTGCTAGTGGGAAAGAGGGTTTTGTTAACGGCCTTGTCGACGGTTTTTCTCAGTTTTTTCTCCACTGTCGTTCCACTTCGCATCTCTATACTCAGTTTCAATCGCCATAATACCCCCTTATTGAGCCCGACTTTTGCCTTTAAGAGACTTTTGCCTTGACTTTTGCCTCGTATCGCAAATTATTTTCTTTTCAGAAAATGGTGAAACAGCCTAATGTTGAACCTCTCGAAAATCGCCTTGTACTTTTTTACGCACGTGCAGGCTCTCAGATTTCCCTTGGCAGATCTCTGAGGCAAAAAAATGAGGGATCAGCGTGATCAAAAAATGTCCCGTTGGGGCCTTGGAATGGGGGTGGGGTGGGATGAGGACCGATTTTTGGTTTTTGAAAACACCTCCTGTGTTATTGACGATAAGAACTGTTGAAAACTCATGATCATAATGTGTGCTGAAAATCATTTCGGATTTTTGTAACGAAAACCTTTCATCTGCCGAAATTTTCTAATATTTCCATATTTCCTCAGAAGTCAATCCGCGAAATTCCCCACGCTCTCATCCACTTTGCTTCGATCTGGAAGAATCAGGAGCTCTCCGCGTGAATCTGTTTGCAGACGTTCTATTGTTGAGCATTATGCCTCCAAATTCTGCCCCTAATCCCTGAGCTTACGACCCACCTTCTGCTGGCCAGATACGGTCCCTCTCGTCGAACTTTTTGCAATGGACGGCCGAATCTGGCCTAAAGATGCAAAGGAATCAAGCCTTCAAATTCGAGGTCGTTAAGCGACTCATTACCAAGGTTTTTTTGGAGATTAATGGTTCTGCTTGTTAATTTGGCACTGCATGTGGAGGGGAGGGGGGGGGTAGCAAAAAATCACTTTGGTCATTACGCGCATCAGCTAAGTTTACAGTGCACACGGCGACGAGGTACATACATGAGCCTCCAATCCCGAATAATCGCAATGTCCCTCGATAGGTAAAGCAAGTCTCGTTCATAAGCCTCACAATCTCCAATATATAAAGCCGTTCCTAATCGCCAGCGAGTGCAAAGAAATATTATTATATTATAATTGCCAATTCCGAAGCAGCTGAGCAAATTCCTTGACCAATCTCTGGTGGACACTTTCCAGAGCTCTGAGTAATCCTCATGTGGACTCACTGACCTGAACCCTTTCAATTAGCGGGAATGAGCAGAGCTCAAAAGATTTACGCATGAGAGCAAATGGTTTGGGAATCTCGATGAGTTCAAACGTCGAAAACGCGCTACCTTTGAAAAAAATTTAAAAAAAGATCTAACTAAAATTAGGTTGAAACTTTACGTATTTAGTATTGAACGCGGGAGTGGAAAAATGTCTCTTCCTCCAGTGCAAGGTCTCATGGCGCCTGTCAGGCTATTAATCTCTACTTGAGTTGCGCGACAACCTGCTGTCAGGCAGTTGGCCCTTTAACGAAGGAGGGCTTTCCTCACCGGCAAAGGCTTCGATCTCGCGTTCCGTGGCACCAGCACCTCGCCCCACGAAGTCACTACACACCGCAATGGTCCATAGCTAATGTTTTTTTTGAATATTGTATCGGAAAGAGCACCTTGCCTGGTGGAAAAGAGCCCGCTTGCCTGAATTTCTGGCAGGTGAGCTTCATTGGATATCCTTCAGTGAACTTAGAAAGGTTCTGAACTTGCGGATAGCACTTTTCAATGTTGACAGCTTCAGACCACGTGCCATTGTTGACCATTAGAGCATTCTATGAAGCAATTTTGCTGAAACCCTGCTATTATTTGCTGTTGAAAGCGGCGCCGATTTGGAGGGTTCTTATAACCGTCTTTCAAAGAGGGTCTTTCAGGCAAGCCACGCTTTTTCAGAACGGTTACCTGCATAATGTAGGGACGCATGTTGGTGGTGAAGTGTGTAACGATACTCTCAATGGTTCGATCCCCACGGCGACAAAATTGTGCATTCAAGAATGGCTACTTTTGGAATCAGTATAGCCCTAATCATGAATATGACATCTAATTTGGATACTTACAATTAGCACCATCCAGCACCAAGCCGTTGGCGCCAACCCAAATGCAAATACAAAATTTGGTCACCACGGGGGATTGAGCAGTACCATAAAGTTAATTTTTGCACTGCCTGAAGGCCTTTAAGCGAAATGAACGTGGTCATGTGCTCTCTACATGGGTCTCTGCAAGAAACCGTTTTGAAAGAGCGCAGCTTGCGCAGGAAGACCCCCCCCCTTGTTAGCATCACTCAATTCTTGTGCGGAGAGGGGGAACGAGGAAAAAGTGGATCAGTAACTGAGTGTGATCACAAGAAAGAGTCTCATGTGTGGTGAGCGCCAGGTATTCCTCTTCTGAAGAGCTGGATCTCTTTTGCCGAGTATGCTCAGAATACGACCCGAGAATCTCACTGAAAATGTTGGGAATTCTAGAGCGACATGTTCCAGTCAGAGAACGCTACAAGTGAATTCCGCCTAATTCGAATTGGTTTATTGTTGCTGCCTTCTCAAAAGTGGCCCCCCATAAAAGAGTTATTCTATGAGGGTGAATAATCACCGTGGTGTCAAATCCCAAGGAATATAAACGGCGTGGGCGAGCACAATTACAGCCAATCATTCACAACAAATTTTCGGTCTCGCCTACATCGCCCCCTCCATCGTCGCCCATCTGGGAACAACCTCGTAAGATTTAAGAAGTATGTGAGCGTTCGTTGAAATGTGTCTGTCCTCAGCTAGAGCGATGATTCATTTTATCGAATATCCGGCTAATTCATCCCTAATTCTCATCGCGTGCCATGGCGCGCTCAATTGAGTGGATTGCATTTCCTGTGAAGGGGTTGGACGGTTGCCAGAGATTTGAACTGCTCAGATGCCTTTTGGCGATCCACCCGACTACGTGCATCTGAGGACGAACGAAAGTCAAATGCAGCTCATTTCGATGGGAGAACAGCCTGAAACGCCCAGGTGAGCCCAAACGCTCTTATTCGTGCTCTTATTTTCATTGAATATTTTCAGTGGGTCCCCGTGTTTCAATTCACCTTCCACACGGGAAGAGCCGCCCGCTGTGGTATTCGTTCCTGGCAAGGTAAGCGTTCAAATTTCGTTCTAGCCTGTATTGCATGCATTTCCTCCGACCAGGAAACGCTGTTGACGATTTATGTTAAAGTAAGCGTTATGTGATGACGCCAAATATGTAGATGCATCATAGATGAATTGTCCTCTTCAGCCATTGTTCTGTGGTCGTCTGAAAGGCAAATCTCCAGAAATGATTCATTCTTTTCTTTTTTCATCACCTCCTTCACCTTCTCTTTACTCATCTTTATCATTTCACCGTGTATCTTTCAATTATTACATCCTGCCGATAACTTTTCTATCTGCAAATTTTCTCACTGAAAATGAAAACCAATCACTTAGACGGAGAACTCTCTGCGTTCAGGCGAGCTTCCGGACGAAGTTCTACGGTGCTTTTGAGGGCGATTCGTAACGGATTTCCCACTCGGTGTACTAAAGATAAGTAGATATCGGAAGTATTTTGCTGTCGTAGTTGGCAGGCGTCTGTCTGGTTGCCTCGTACCCACTTGAAAAAAGCCTTTCTTATCTAGCAATCCATACATTCAAGTGTCAATTCGTTCGAAATACAATGCTTCTAAAGTAGGAAGTATAAGAGCCACGCCCATGCAGTTGTGGTGACGAACGGATCAGTTCTTAAAGGCACGGGTCGCGACAAGGATTCCAAAGAAATTCTCTTCTCGAGTGAATTAGCAAAGCACTAATCACTATAGTGATATTACTTTCGCAACTTACAAGGACACGACACTTCAGCTAATGTCTTCGCTTCACCGCTGCGATCGCTGCCACGCCTATTAATGGTAGCGATATCCGAAAGTTGGGGTGGGTGTGTCACCGGAAGTGACGTGCACTTGATAGAAGTGCGTGGATAAGCTGTTGCCAGCATGCTTTGCTGATATCCAGCGATGTATGTTGGAAGCAGCTTATCCACATAGTTTCTATCAAGTGCACGTCACTTCCGGTGACACGCCCACCCCAACTCACCGATATCGAGTATACTTTTCGTCTGTTCCTTCCACACTGCGCGCTCTCGCGCCTTTTCCCTCTCCGCGCAGCGCTTCGTCTCTCTATTGTACCGCGATCGAGCTCAGAAGGAAACTCCTATGTTTCCATAGTGTTTTTGCTTTTTCTTCACTATGGTCCCTCTTCACATTTTTTATCCAATTTTCGAGAAACAAAAGCACCAGTCGATCGAGTCTTGCCTCTAGAAAAACTATGTTTATTAGTGCAGCTCGAATGCATTAAACTTAGATACGTTCAATCAAAAAATTGTTAGGTTAGTAATAGAACTTCTATTCATTGCGAGAAATATTACGCGTTTAAAATTGTAATGACTTTTATCGCATGTCTCACAAGGGAAGGATACCAGGTCGAAGTGGCCATTTGTAACGAGACATACACCACTAGATGTGTTTTTGGACGCTGATCTCGAATCTGCTCTCCAAATCTGCGAAACGATTCTCTGAACGTAGTTATGAAGCGAGATAGTGCAGTGGCAGCGGCCCGGGCCGACGAACAAGAGGTCGTGAGATCGATTTCTTGGCGAGTTCTCAGTTTTGCTTTTCTTGAGAACATTATTTAAAGATCAGCGACTGCCTATCTACAAGTGGATAGAGCTGGCGAAGAGCTTCGAACACTATGCGCGTCATTTGCAAATGACCGTCTCTGGTACTCGTAGCGCTCGTGACAGCACTTTCGTGCCGACACATGTCAAGCACTTTCGTGCCGAACAGATATGATATTCTTGTTCAGCGTGTCAGACTACCCCTTCCGAGGACTTTTGGTCCAAATCTAAACCTTTGACCTGAAGTTGAAAATCTGGGCCACACACGACCGAATGGAAACGGCAAATAGATGGCCACGGCATAGTTGTTGAGCTCTACCGCCATTTTGATAGGATAGGCAGTCGCTGATGGGCTTATGGCATAATGAGATTCTTCAAGACAAATTGTTCTCCTAAAAAAGCAATAGCCGAGCTCGGCTCACGCTTGCGTGCCACTGCACTATTTCGCTTCATAACTACGTTCCAGAGAACCGTTCCGCAGATGGAGAAGTTTGGAGAACAGATTCGAGATCAGCGTCTAAAAACACAACTAGTGGAGTAGGTCTCGTTACAAATGGCCACTTCGACCTGGTATCCTTCCCTTGTCAGTATTTTCTTAATGTAAATCGCATGCTAATGTTTTCTTTCCGATAAAAACTGAAATGGTGCATATCCGTTAAGGCAAGCTATGGCACGTTACCACATACATAATTTAATATTTACCTGAATTGCCAGAGACATGAAAAAGTGTGAATCTGAACGAAAACGTAATGAAAACAGGAACTGGAGCAGAGCAGAGTTAAAAAGGGCCATAAAATAGGGCAAGAAACGGAGTGGAATTGACTCACATTCTCATTCATTTGTTGTTTGTTATCTGTTGCGTTTCGTCGTGATGAGCAAACTTCCCTGCCTCCACCGGTGAAAGTGTTATATCTGCATCTGTGTTGAAATAACGTCCCTGTTAGCTCTAGAAGCTCGAGACCTGGTTCCGTTCTCAGCCTAACGCGTCTTTTACCTAAAGCTCAGCATCCAAAGATTTCTCGTGAGCCTTGGTTCTTCAATAGTCCCGCCCACGAAGTCTGACTTCTTTTCCAGAAAATGGGCATGACGTGACTTTCTCTCAAGTAGACTCGTTTGGCGGAGAAGTGACGCACCCGGCGCTGAATGGCGACGCGACTTACACTCGCAAAATAAGTTTGCGAACCCAGGCGGGTAATTTATGCAGAGCGGCTTTCAGAAAGAAGGTCGGAAAGCTTTCAACACTCCAGAAAAAGTGCAACGTAGGCCTATTTCTTCAAGACCGTTTGAGTACGTATGTACTTGATACAGAACTTGTCTGGAGTATAAATGCTACTCTTTGGGTCTTTGCTAACTCCTGGTAAGCGTTTCTAGACCATATGTTCATTCGGAATTTCTGCGCGTTCACCCCTTAGACTCCGACTATTGCATAGTTTCCAATGAGAGCTTCAGAGCAGTCATCGATTTCAAGAGCAAGTAATCAATATTTGCAGTTTTGTAAAAGATAGTTAGAGAAACTCCGAGTTTTTAAACTCCTAAAGCCACTAATTCTCATTTACAGATTCAGTAACCTTTTCATTACTTGCGTGCGGGACCCTACTTCTTCCTACGGCTTCGACCGCCTCCCTAATTGCTCTAAAACTGTTCTTTCTGGTTGATGTGAAAAGACGAAGCTAAAATTGTCAGTTCATGTGAAATCGACGGATTGATTGACGAGTTTTTTTCCTTCCTCGTCCAGTGTAGGCGGCCTAAGCCGTATGAACCTCCATTCCAGCCTCTTTTGCTATAGTTGGGCACTATGAATTTTTCATTTATTTTATGTAATATTCTGTTGTATAGGCAAGACCGTCGCTAAGTGCACCACTTTCGCGTTTCGGCTATACGGGAGACACCAAAATCCAACAACTGTTTATGTGTTAAAGAAGGAAAAGAACGAACAGTTTTTTTTGCTAAAAGATAACAAATTATCTTCCTTTTATGTAATTACTTGAGGATTAAAAACGAACGCGTTATTCATGTCGTATTTAGGGCTTTTTAGGAAATCGTGGTAGTAGAAGTTGACTGTTTGTGGTGTTTGTAGGGGTAAGCGCCGTTTTATAATTGAGAGACGTTTTTCCTCTACAATTTTTCTCCAAAAAAGAACCCGACATTTTGTGTTGCTAAATCAGAGCTGTATACGGTCCTCCCCGCACAATTTTGGGGCGGAGTTGGAGGTGTGCTAAGTGATGGCAGGTTGCAGCGGATAGGAAGGGTTGAATCGGGAACAGCCTCTAGCGGTGGCGTGACCCTAATTTTTCCCACTGCAGCAGTTCACCCCTGCCTGAGGGGCTGTGCATCCAAAATTCAATTGTCAATTTATTTTTTTATCTTTTATACCTGTGGATTGCCGAGTAATTCATAAATTAAGCAATTGAAATTTAGCTACTGAAAGCGGTGGAGAAATCCGAACCTAATATCAACCCAATGTTGTGCATTTTTTACGCTATTTTTTGCCTGTTCATCATACTTCTCTTTGATCTCTTTTAAAGCTTGTCAGTGAGGTAAAGGTTTTCCTCCCACCTTTTGTGCCGCGTATTTCTTGGTTCCTTATGGAAAAATTCCGTTTTTCCTCATACTGCACCCTATCATTCTGTGTTCTTGTTGCACTTCAGCGAAACGGCTCTTCGGACCTTTTGTTACACTTGACCGCCCTGCTGTCTGCTAATTAGCTAGATGACACTTTAGGTTCCTTTGTGCTTAAGTTCTGAAATGCGCCTAACTACTGGTCTAGTACATTCTGCGCACAAGGCTTTCGTTCTTCTAAGTAACCGATATATTACACGTCCCTATACCTTGAACAGCCATGCATAATGTGCAGGAATAACATATGCCATGATAGTACATCTCCATCTGTTGCACGCCAGTCATTGGATAAACTGTGATTTTCTTTTACGCATAAAGAGCTTATCCTTTACGATATGACGCGCTACTTATTGAACGGAGTTGCAATTTCTCCTTCTCAACAACTTAAAAGCGAATACATTTATCGTGTTAGAACACGCGTATACATTACACACAAGTCCTGACAGCTCGAACTGCTCCCCGTCGTGATATAGTAGCTAAAAGTGTCAATTTTTGCATGCTGACACGCCGATTTGATAAAACGTAAATCGTTATGATTAATATGATCATTAAAGGCCGTCTTCCAACGATAGGTTGGGTCATTAAATAACGTCAACTAAATTTCATCATCACCTTTGAGAATGAAGCACTCCTGACCCCATAAACGCCAATGTCTCGTTTTAAAAGCGAAAAGCGTGTGTGTCACAAAAGACAGCGCAGCTCTAGATGCCTTTCAAGGCCACCCATTATTCTCGCCGCGAGTCCAGCCAGTTTTAAATTGCGCAAATTCTCTTAATACAAAGCCCGATCCTCATAATTAAATGAGGCGAGTATAGGACCTACAAACAAGAGACCAACTGAAGTTGTTCTTAACACTTGTATGAGTAGCATCCTGCGTGCGAAGCCTTCTATAAAAGACACATCCGTGAGAGCTCCCACATAAAGCCGTGTGAATAGTTACACTTCACACAAACTATAAGAGGGTAGGCACTTATACAGAACTAATTTTGTCATTTCTCTGATTTGCATCAATTCTTTGTCTTATAAGAAGATTTGTCTATAAACCTTAATTCCCGTGGAAGAGTAGCTCTAACCTGTCATGAACGAGATTAATCAACGTCTGAGGACTATTACCTTCTAAAACTGTGGAGTTCAAAAGATCCCTGATCGAATAACACGGTTTCTCTAAACTTCCTAGTAACCTGTGACAAAAATTATGCTCCTTGGTCTATTCTTCATTATTTTGCCCCGGTACTAAAATCGATAAACTAAAAATTGAGTATCCCCTAGACGCCACTTTTTAATGACAAGAATATCGCAATAAAAATATTAACAGGATTATTATGCGCGTACCACGCCCGCATCATCAAACAAACACCTCACGTAGTTAGCTTTAAAGATACCACCAGGGAGACCCATCTTGATGGAAAAGTGCGCTCCGTAGGTCTCCTGATAATATAACAGATACTGTCTTGGCGTGAGAAAAAACACGAACGCCGTCCTAGCGGTAAAGAGTATACTTCCTTATTAGTAGCAAATCTGCTGCCTACTTCTAGAATATAATCGATTGAAGTCCCAAGGAACACCACCAGTAAACTCATAAGTGATACGCCCGTCGAGATGAGACTAGAGCTTTTTCAGAACTGGCTGGGACCAAGCCACTATCGAGACCATCGTCCATAAAACCCAAGGAACGCTGAAGTTTCCAGAGTCCTTCCGTGATAATAACATTACCTAACTCGTTTTATCACGGAAGTGAAGTTTCCCTAATAACATACTCTACGAGGTAATCACAATTCATAATGAGTATAAACATTACTAGTGCTTGCCCGAGCACGATGCAGCCATAACGGCCTAAACAAAGTTTATATTCATTGCCTTCAACCTCTGTTTTTTCTGTTACAAATACTATTTATCTTTCACCCGTCTAAGCTGGTATTTTATTGAGAAATTTGAAACGAATATTGAGAATGTGCTCGTGCAGTGGAGAGCTGTGTGTTCTCACCCATTTTTGATAAATATCAGTTAACGTTTGCTGCGGTACTTTACGACCCTGCAACGATGCTTCTCTCGATATCATAAATCCGTTGTGCTGCCTAGAAGTAGAGTCTCAAACCATCGTATAGGACTGTAATTCGGTCTATAATGTTTAAATGCTCTAAAGTTAAGCAGCCATATTCATTATCTGCTCTCCTTTCCTTAATGTCGCCTTACTTTCTGCGAGCCCCGGCTTGCGAATATACGACAGAGAGCGCTGACGTGTAATTAAGTTGCTGCAATCTGCCCGTCATTTCGTAATATTTTCTGCCTTTTCTTTGCACGCAGACTGCCCCCTGTTAAATTCTGAAGCTCGTCGCGCATCTCGAGCAAAGGACTTCGACGCGGTCATAGGTCAGGCAGCGGACCTTTTTGTAATGAAATCAACGAGCCCTCTTCTTGGAGCATTTTCCATATATAGACAAAATAGAGAACACCTATAGCCATTACTAAAAACCGCTGATTGCGGCTTGAATTACGTATCATAACTCCCTACCGCTACTAGCTTAAAAAAAATTATCTCCTCTGCTCCCAGTTGGGTTCTATCGATCCCACCTTTATTGCTTCAGTTGACTAAATCTATCGTTTTCTCATGTCCTATTGTACTCCTGCTTCAAAATTCGTAATTCACGATACGCATGCTCGGTGGTTTTTAGTGAAAGGTTTGTCATCAATGGACAAACTAATAGTCATTGGTTGTTCTGCTAGTTGACAGCCCTGGAAGTGGAAAGAAATGTTGAAGCTTGGCATTTCTTATAGACTAGACAACACATTCGCTTGCGGAGGACCGGGGGAGGCGCAGACGGGATTTGAAGTTGAGCTGCTTTTCGATTTAAGTGGGATTTTGTCACATGGCTAGCTTAACGCTTCTCAACGAGTGACTCATCAACAGGGAAGTACACAGAAATCGCCTTTGTGAAATCCGATGTTTTGCTCAATTTCTTGCTTACTTTTCTTCTTCACCTCTACATCACAAAAATCAACGTATACAGATGTTCTTCACAAGATTAGACTTTATGAAAAAAATTACGAATATCTGTGACTAGCATCCGCATATTATTTCAATGTGTTATGGCAAAATCATACATTGCACGTCTGTGGATGATGTTGGAAATTCCATAGTTTTCATTCAAGACCAATACATAGTAAAGTGATGAACCTCTGGAAAAGGTGATCATAGGAACTCGCCCTGCACAAAGTTTTCCACGGCTGAGAACAAGCTCAGGTCATTTGTCCTAAGAAGAAATCCAAGAAAAGCGGTTACCTTCAACTCCCGTCTGAGCCTGTGCACACGTCCTCCGTAGTCAAATGTATTGTCTGGTAGTATAAGAAATGCCAAGCTCCAACACTTCAGCTGCAATTAGCTGCTTGAGTCAGCACGTTGTACTTGGGAGAAAAAGGCATGAAAAGGCATATCATTAATTTAATGTGGTTTGCATAAAATATTAGGGGAAGCTTGTGTTGACCCATCTCGCCCAGGTACATAATGTGACGCAGCCTTAGGCAGGAGAGTCGTTCCATCCCATTTATCGATCATCTTCCAGGTTTCAGACCAGCTGTGTAATATCCTTGTAATTTTACCAGGATTGACAGTGGGTGTGTTCTGCCAATTAACAATATTCATAATTTCCTGCTTATTAAGATGAAGAAAAATCATAGTAAAGGTAAGAGAACCGACTGGGAGCAGTGCTCGGTCTTTACAGCACGCCAGCAACACCGTTGCTCTCGGTTGTCAGATTGCCAACAATCTCGATCTCCAGTGGTATCGTGACATGCGCTTGAGTGACACCTGAAAAAATCAAATCAAATAGTGAAGAAAAAACAATGGACTACTTCTGAAGTATTGGTTGTTGTGTTTTTCGATTTTTTTCTGAAGTATCGCTCTTGTGAAAACAGTAATGTTTGCAATGTATCGCGAAAATCAGGCGAATTCAGCCTCGAACCTCTCGTGCATTATGCTTTTCCACGACTTCACATTGACCGAACGACTTTTCACCTTTCGCGTTTGCAAAGCGTTACCGTCCCAAGTACAACGTGCTGACTCAAGCAGCTATTTGCAGCTGTAGTGTTGGAGCTTGGCATTTCTTATACTACCAGACATTTGCCTACGGAAGACGTGTGCACAGACGGGATTTGAACGTAGCGCTTTTCTTGGATTTCTTCTTAGGACAGATGACCTGAGCTTGCACAGCGTTCAACGCATTCGTAATTAAGATAAAAGATATGATTAATATCCTTGTAAATAATGAATATAATCACTGTTTTGTAGTATCCAGTGTAATAAAGTGTATATATATATATATAAATAAGTTCATTTGTTATAAATATGGGTTAGAAGTAATCTCAAAAAATTGAGCATTTAATTAATCAATCATTTACCATTGTAATAAAAATGTCTATTTATTTTCTCTATGAAACTTTCACACTTTGTATTCTACTTACCTAATGCCAATCAGTTTATAGAATTCTTTTGCACCCTCATATTAATCATCATTAATAATAACCCTGCTCTAGTCATATTGTATGGTTCACTGAGTGTCATATTCATGTATAAAAGGTAGCATTATTACAAACCGGACACTTTGTTCAAAACACTATCCTAACACTTTCTTTCTTCAATTACATATTCAACTATTCCACTTACATAAATTCTTTTTTCTACCGCTCAGTAATGTAAACTTTTTTATTTCGTCAACCCCTACTCACTGATGAGCCTCTGGGGGTTGACGGAATATAGTGGTTTGTCTGAGTTAAGAGGCGAAACGAACCACAATTTATTTTGTTATGTTAAATTCCTTCCATTAAAATATCCTTTTATCTTTTATTGTACACAACGTCTGATCATCTCTGCGTGGACTTAATTCCACTTGAGAGCCAGAACAAGTCTCGAGCTGACCAAAAATTTAGCAATGGAAAACTTGTGCAGGGCGAGTTCCTAATCACCTTTTCCCAAGGTTTATTCACTATTACTATGTATGCTTGAATGAAAGTATGGCATTTACAACATCTATCCACAGACTGTGAATGTTATGATTTTGCTAACACCGTGAAATTTCCAAGGGCGATTTCTTCTGGGTCTCCTGTTGATGAGTCACTCGTTGAAAATCGTTAAGCTAGCCGATGTAACAAAATCCCCACCGAAATCGAGAAGCAGCGAACTTCAAATCCCGTCTGCGCCTCCCCCGGTCCTCCGCAAGCGAATGTGTTGTCTATTCTATAAGGATTGCCAAGCTTCAACATTTCTTTCCACTTCCAGGGCTGTTAACTAGCAGATACAACAACCAATGACTATCTTATCCAAGCTTTAGTTTGTCCATTGATGACAAACCTTTCACTAACAACCACCGAGCATGCGTATCGTGAACTACGAATTTTGAAGCAGGAGTACAATAGGACATGAGAAAACGATAGTGTAGTCAACCGAAGCAATAAAGGTGGGATCGATAGAAGGAAGTTCCGATAGGTAGGGTGGATCCTGAACAGCTTCTAGTTCCTTTGTTTCTATGGAAACCAAATAATAGTAGCTGTCGAAATCGACGATTTCGTCTGCCTGTGTTTTCCATCTTCCAAGCGCCATATCTCAGTACAATTATATTATAACATAAAGGGAAATGAGAAATAAGGTGTGTAGAGCAGTAAACTACTTTAAAAAACTGAAGATTGTAGTTCATTCATAACCCTGATTATGAATACGACGCTCATTGGAAAGTAAACTCATGTTGAGGTGCCAGAAAAACGGTGCAAGTAGGGAGTTAAAACACACACACTACCTCCATAGGCCAAGCAGTCCATCACCTATCCACTAGGCACCTGGCGACCACATGCATTCCGACGACGCTGCCAACAACACTAAAATCATTGCGCTTTCTTTTCTCCACATAGCTCGGACGGTCATATCATGTTGTCGACCACGCGTTATTTTCAAGGCACGCTAAACGAGATTTTAATATGGCACTAGTCAACTCTGTAAACCATGCATCCTCCATCAAGCAGCAAGAACGGCTGCTCTTGGAGAAACAATTTTCATCACCCGCGCGGACATCCTTACGAGTATTTAGAGATCTGCCTAGGGTAAACGAATCAAGTTCTATGTCCGTAAACCAATACCGTGCGTTCAAGTGTCGTCACGCGGTCACTGAGTTGCCAGCAAGGTCTCCATTCGTCCATAGGCAAGAGAAACAAGTCGATGCTCCTCCTTCGAGGTACACGGAGGTCTTCGTTATTTTGTTCAGAGCTTTCATGAAGAAGTATGACCATCGGACAGGCGGTCGTCCAGGTGTTTGAGGTCTCGAGGGATTCAGCCAGTAACTGAGTGAATGCCGACGGAGCAAGGTAGTTTGGACAGCTCGTCTAGCCTTCGTCCCTCTCTCTCCGAGGAGGAAGGAGGGAGTCCTAGTTCGAAGGCATCATGGGCGGTTTTCTTTACTTGTCTTTCATTTACAGTCAACTCGGCGTTCACAATTTGACTGTTGACTGCTTTCACTCTACCGAGTTGATCGGATGTGTTGCTTTGGAAAAGGCACTCCCGAAACAGTCTTTCTTCATCTTCTCTCCAGCGTACTCCGCGCCGTCGCCGTCGTTGTCAGTCGTGCCAACTGAACTTAAGATCTGGGTCCTCTAGTTGTAGTCGTGACTCATTACTAGATCCATCTTGATCAAGTTTCTCCACCTGTTAGGGCCCCTCGCGGCCGCTTGCCTTGCGCTTCCGAGTCCAGCGCTTTTTTTATCGGATGACCCTCCTTAGCACGTGTCCATACCATCGGAGCCGCTGCTCTCGCATCTTCAGCTGGACAGGGCATGACCGCCCTGACATCCTCGTTTCTGACCCTGTCCAGCCGCGTCCAGCCGCAGGCCCACCTCAGCATCCTCATTTCAGCGGAGTGAAGCTGCCTTTCGTGGTTCTTGTTCAGGGGCCAGCACTCGCTGCCGTATAGCATCGCAGGCCTTACCACTGTCCGGTACACCTTCCCTTTGAGCGTTCTGGAGCACCTTCGATCGCAGAGGATTCCAGTGGACTCCCTCCATTTCATCCATGCAGCGTTGACCCGAGCCTTCACTGCCTGATCCACACCACCGTCGGCTGCCAGATCGCTCCCAAGGTAGCGGAAGTCCTCCACTCTTTCGATGGTCTCACCATGGCCGTCCACGATCGGCTCTGCTCCCTCTTCAAAGCTCAGGAACTTGGTCTTCTTGACGTCCAGCTGGAGCCCACCTTATCTGAGCATCTGCTTATCTGAGTCACAGTCACACAGATTACATAGCTCTTTTATGATGTTTGCTTGCTTCACTACCGTCTTAGAAGCTCGATGTTCCGTGAGTTTATCGAGGGTACCAAGAACAATTTTGATGCCTTCACTTCCCACACGGCGGTTCCGTCTCTCATCAGACGTCGTACAAAACTGTGGCAGTGCCATGTCAACATGAGTGGCTATTCTTTTGATACCCTTACTCAACTCAACTAAGAGCCGATTGTGATCACTCTTTCTTCTTGTCCGGCTTAACATTCGCGTCTGCTACCGACAAGCTGCTCACTTGGTTCATGATCTCGGATTCCTGTCCAAGATTATCTTTCGCTTCCATTGCGAAATGATCAAACATTGCAATAGTTGCTTTCAGTTCGCACTGTTCCCTTGTGAGCGCGTATGAGTTCTCGCACAACAAATCAAAACTCCCACCGTTCGGATCACTGTTCTCTTGTGTTGACTGGTAGCGGATAGTTTGCAGGTACAAGTGGCTTATCGCGGAAACACCGCGATGTCATCGGCCGATCGTCTGATTAGCCAGTCAAAGGAGCGGTCACCTTATGATCGTGATCGCGCGCCAAAGGGCGCTATAAAAGAGCCTCGAGGGACATCGAGAACCCAGTTCTTCTCCGCGCCCTCCCGATAGCTTTTGCGATACTGCGATATTCAGAGTTTGCGATTACCATTACCCATGCCTACCCTCTTGCGAAGCTTACTCTTGTTTTAGCTGTTCCTCTCACTCTATTTAGCGGTTTTGTTCTGAAGCATTCTTTATTCCTCACTGCGGTTATTAAATGACCTGTGCCTAATCCTATATTGTTATGGTGTTGTTCGCTCATTATTCTGATACTCAATGTTGGTCTCTGCCTCATAACTCTTACCGGTACTCAGAAGATGTTATTTTTGTTACTTTGCTGATATTTTGTTACTTTGACGATGTTGTGTTAATCGTTCCTCGTTACATGAAGTTTAATTACCCAAGTTTGAGATTAACAAGCCCGCGTGGCACGACACAAACATACAAGCAAGGGTTCGATCGCCCCCAACTATGGCTGATCACCGGCTCAGCCCCCAAGTAGAGTTCGTTAAGCGTAAGTGCGGTTTACTTTTTTCTAAGATGACCAGCCACTAGTACAACTGCAAAGTTTGTCCAATACTAGACAACAAAAGAAAAACAAACAAAACAATCGCTACTATACAACCGATCACCTGGAAAACATCTTTTATATATATATATATATTTATATATATATATATATATATGTGGAGGACGAGGGGGCTTCAACATGGTCCGTTGTGGCAGAGTCCAGCGTGCGGCTCGACAGTCCAGTTGATGTGAGTAGGTGGCAGATGACGACAGCTCAAGGATCGTCGATCCAGCAAGTTGAAACCTGCTTCTGATGACCTCCTCGCTACAGCATCTAGATAAGACAACGATAAGGGTTGTTACGTGGCTATCCCGTCCAACCATGTTTAGGAGAGCTGTTATCGCCTCATTGCATTTTATTACTTGTTAACTCGGCAATGACAGTACTCCTTATTATATC